ACTTGCCCAGGGTCACACTGCTAGTAAGTGTCAAGTGTCTGAGGCTAGATTTGAACTGAGGTCCTCCTGACTCTAGGGCCAGTGCTCTATTCCACTGCACCACCTAGCTGCCCAAGAATAGCTGTTTCTATGGAAGCATTTATTTTTTGTTCAAGTACAAAGTCAGGATCTGAATCCAGTTCCCTTAGCTCCAGATTCAGAACCAGTGTTCTCTCCACTGCACGAGGCCACCTCTCAAGGAAGTATGTATTATGAGACATGAGGGGGAGGGTCCATGATGAAAGGAAAGAGATGGAATATTCAGGAAAGAGTAAAGAGCAAATTCAATTCAACAAATACTTAATAATATGGGGCAAAGACTGTATTAAACAAAAGCTACTGTCGAAACTGGGAAGTAATTGGGCAGAAATTAAGTTTAGACCAGTATCTTATACCATATAACGCAATATGCTCCAAATGGATATAAAATATGTAAATATAAAAATCATGTAAAATATCAAATATAAAAATCATTTTAAAATGAGAGAATGGTATGGTATGAGATATCTTATACAATTATGACCAGAAGGCAAATTCTTAACTAAAAAAAGGGATAGAGGTAATCATGGGAGATAGAATGAACAATCTCTATTACATAAAACGGAAAAAACTTTCACACAAAAAATTAAGCTAAAATTAGAAGATAAATGGGTAACTGGAGAAAATAATGTCTGTAGCAATTTTCCTTGGTAAAGGTCTGATATCCAAGATATATGGGGAATTGATGTGAATATATAAGAATAAGAGTCATTCTCTAATAGATAAATGGTCAAAGGATACAAACAGGTAGTTTTCAAAGGAAGAAAGGCAACCTATCAATACTCTTATAAAAGAAAGCTCCAAATCAATCATTAGGAGGAAAATATAAATAAAAACAACTCTGAGATTTTACTTCATATCTATCAGATTGGCAAAGAAGGCAACAGTCCATGTTGAAGGGGCTATGGAAAGACAAGCACAATCATACACTGTTGGTAGAGTATTAATTGGTTCAACTCTTTAGATAATTTGGAATCACATTTAAAAAGTCACTAAACTATACATACTCCTTGACACAGCAATACAACTACTAGACAGATACTCCAAGGAAGTCAGAGACAGAGCACCATTTGTAGTGGCAAGGAATTGAAAACAAAATAGGTGCCCATCATCAAGGAAATGTCTGAACAACCTGTGACACATGAACATAACTAGGTATGATTACACCATATGAAATGACAAATACATAAAGAAATCAGATAAGTTTAAGAAGACTGATGCAGAGTGATAGAAGCAGAAACAGGAGAATAGTCAGTCAAACATTTATTAAGCATCTACTATGTTATATATCAAATACATAGCAACACTAGGATTCACACTCTGGTCTTCTGATTCCAAGTTCAGGTCTTTTGGCCATCATGTCTCTACCACAATGCTTCTCCATCTGTCTATCTCCTTACCCATCATCTAGGTCGTCAAGTGGATAGCATGTCAGGCGTGATGTCAGGAAGACTTATCTTCCTGAGTTCAAATCTCGCCTCAAACACTTCCTAGCTGGGTGACCCTGGAAAATAATAATTTATAATACTTAACTCTGTTTGCCTCAGTTTTCTCATCAGTAAAAAGAGCTGGAGAAGTAAATGACAAACCACTCTAGCATCTTTGCTAAGAAAACCCCAAATGAAGTCACAAAGAGTCAGACACGGCTGAAACAACTGAACAGTAACAAGCTTCTACCCAGGCATTGTGTTAAGTTCTGGGAATACAAAAAAAAAAGGTAAAAAACAATAAATTGTTGCTCTCCAACAATTGACAAGATGACCACAATAACATAAACAAACAAACAAACAAAAAAAAACAGGTCAACTAGGTGGCGAAGTGAATAGAGCTCTGGCCTTGGAGTCAGGAGGACCTCAGTTCAAATCCAGCCTCAGACCCTTGACACTTACTAGCAGTGTGACCCTGGGCAAGTCACTTAACACCAATCCCCACACCAAAAAGCAAAAAAACAAAACAAAAAACCAAAGAGCCTATGTTTTTTGAAGATTGTTGGAGAAGCAGGTATCCCACCTTTGAGAGGGAGGTAGTGAACTAGAATTTCAGAATGAAGCATGCATTTTCTGACATGGCCAATGGGTTGATTTGTTTTGCCTGACTATACAGGGTATCATTAAGACTTACTTAAAAAGGAGGGCTCTATATAGGGCTATAATGGGGAGGGAGATAGAGAGGAGGAAAGTAATTCGAAATAACATAAGAAAAAAAGAAAAAAGCATCAATAATTTTTTAAAAAATATTTAAAGTACCTACCATGTACAAGGTATTAAAGTTCAGAGAGAAAACAAAATGGTCCCTGCCCTCAAGGAACTTTTCTTTCTACTGGGAAGATAGAATGTGTAGTCAGATAAATTAAACATAAGGTAATGCAAGGTAACTGGAGGAAGGAGAGATTACTAGCCACTGGAGGGAGCAGGAAGAGCTAGCGTCTGAGATAAGCCTTGAAGGAGCATATGGATTGTGAGAGTCAGGGATTCGGAGGGAGTGCATTCTAGGGACAAGGAAAGGCTTCTAAGAATGCATGGAGGTGGGAAATGTCTGTCAACTTGGACAAACAGCTGGTGATCTAAATTGACTGGAATATAGACTACCTGATGGGAAGAAACTGAAATAAGACTAGAAAGGCAAATTGGAGCAAAACTGTGAAAGGCCCTGAATATCAGGCTAAAAGGCTTGTATTTATCTTAGAGGCAATAAACTAGGAGCCACTGAATGTTTCTGAGTAGAAGAGTGCCATTGCATCATAGGAAAATTATGTTGGGAGAGACCAGAGACAAGGAGATTAATTAAAAGGCTATTTCGATAACACAGACAAGAAGCGATAATGGTCTCTACAGAATTATATGAAGGACAAGAGGATATGCTTGGTTTCTTCCCACTCTCCTGACTTCCCACCCACCTTCCTAACTGGAGTCTTTGCCTTGTTGTAGCTCTAAATAAGGTGCTTTGGGGTCTTTGTGAAAACGCCAGAAAAAATGGAACCTAAAGGAACAGAATTCAGTTCCCTAGGTATAACCCCTTCTGGTTCACTTATACCCTTTCATTAAGGTGTCCTTGAGCCAGAAATCAGAGAGCAGGAACCCTGAAAACCAAGTCTTTCCAAGGCTTGGGGAGGGGTGATGGGTCGGGTAGAGCAGACTAAAATCTAGGATCATAGAAATTTGTCATTCTAGAACTAGTTCAATTTCAGAGCAGCCCAGATTCTAAGGGTGTAATGGGTCCCAGGGGAGGTATGAGAAAGCAGCTAGCGTGCTGGAACTTCCATTTAGGATAGCTAGCTTTGAATCCTGCCTCTGCCACTGGCTCTGTGATTGAAGCTCTAGCCTCGGTCTCCCCATCTGCACAATGGGAGCAACAACGACCTACCTCACTGGGTGGTCTGAGGAAAGTTTCTGAAAACCTTAAAGCACTATTAAAATGTGTTACTGCTATTTAGCCCAGAGGCTGCTGAAGGTGAAAAGGGTGAAAGAGAAGCCAGTCAAGGGTGTGAAAGCATTTAGAGAATGACAGGAAGGCAGGAGAGAAAACAGGACATATAAGTTATAGCTTGTGCTTTGCCTCACTGCTCTAGGGGGGCAGAGAACATAAGTGCCCCCACTGAGATGATCGTGGACAAGTCAATTAGTATAGTGCTTAACAATAATAACAAAATCTGCCTGCACAATCTTGCTCCCCGCTCCCCAATCACAGGAAAATCTCTTTGAGATCTTCCTGTCCTTCCCTTCCCACCCCCCACCCCCATCACCACAAGGAGACTCCCAATCCTCCTATTCCAGACCTTTCCTTGTGGTCGGAAAATCCTCCTTAGCTTTAACCTAATTTGGGGGAAAGGATAAAATGTCTTGAAGGTTCTTATGGGGGAGGGGTAGTGGAAACCAAGGCTGGCATAGTGTTCCCTCTCTTCCACCCAAAGACATAGATAGGGTCACACTTGGAGCTGCCCGGGGAAGGGGAGAGAAGCAGAAGCAGTGCCAAGGGAATCATTACTACCTAAGTCACGGGAGAGCCGCCTTAGCCGGCCACAGTTCACTCTAGCCACAACTGCCCCTGAGCCCACCAGGTGTCCAGAGCCCCGCGGGCTCTTCGCACCGGGTCCCCAAATCCTGTGCCTCAAAGGGATAAAAGGTTTCTAATTCTCTTCCCTTGTACCACTTACCCATGCTAAAGCAGAAGGGGAGCAGCTGCGGAGGGGGAGAAGCACAGCCCTGGAAGGGGAAGACCCCCTGATTCAGCCTAGAGCTGGGCTCCCTCTTGTCCTAATCCCAGTCTCCTGTTCTAAGGGGTGTGGGACCCCTCAACTTCAGCTCCTCTGGTTCAGTCTGGTGCTTACTGTCCCACAGAGTCTCTTACCCACAAAGGTCGCTTCACTCTACCTGCGGAGGGGTTAGGGTGGATTGGCACCATTTCCTCTCCCAACACCTCCCCCTCAACCACACTCACACATACTGAGATTCCTCTGGAGGACTCCAGGTCTGGGTACAGGACTACCTTATTGCAGCTAATCCCCAGGTGTCCCGTGCCCATGTACCCACCTATGTGCTCACCTATCAACACTGAGAGTCACAGAACCCTAACATGTCAGAGCTGGAAAGAACCTTGAAAAATCTAGTCCCACCCACTCATTTGAGAAACCTCGAGCTCCTGTAAGGGGAAACTGCTTGTGTTCTCCCCCTCACCCACCCTACCTCCACATACCCCCATGCACCCTCCCGAGTCAGGATGCTCACAAATGCATTAATCTGCTAGCATGTTTGCACATGCATGTAGCCACTAGAAGCACGCGCGCGCGCGCACACACGCACACGCACACACACACACACACACCTGCGCGCCCTCTTGCAAGCCCCAAACGGCTCATAGCTCTCCTTCCAGGGACCCCTTCCCCACCTGCCCCCGGCCATGCCAACTTTATCCCTTCCTCCTACCTGCTGCCTGATCTGGGCTCAGCCCACGGGCTGCCTCCCTGAGCACCGCCAGCAGGAGCCAGAGATCCCCCCTCATGGTGGAGTTCGGGGGCCTGGGGCTCCGGGACCTTGGCCCCCCAGCCCCTGGGGCCCGGCTGGGACAAGGGAGGAAGGGAGGGAGAAGATGGCTGGGCTGGAGGCAGAAGCGGGGGGCCGCTGGCTGTGAGGTCCCCTCCCGAGCTAGGGACAGAAGGACCGGCGGACTGAGAGAGGGCCGGCCAGCCAGCAGCCTGCCTGCTGTAGGCTGGGAGCAAGGGAGCAAAGCAGCAAGAGAGAGAGGAGGGAGGGAGAGCCGCGGCAGCTGGGAGCCAGGGGGGAGGGGGGCGGAGAGCTGGGCGGGGGAGGGGGTGTAGGAGGAGCTTCGGCCTCCCCGCCAGCCCTCCTGCCTGTCCCGGCTGCAGGGAGTCGGACTGCTGCTGGCAAAGGAACCAGGAGCCCGCGGGCGATGTGCCCTCTCGTGGCCTCCTCGGGGACGCCTCTGGCCGCTGCCGACTGGGTCGGGCCACGCAGCCCACTGTCACGGTGAGAGTGGCAGCAGAAACCCCACCCCATTTCATTTCTATAGAGCTTAAAGGGTGACTAAAAAGTAAGGAGGTCGGCTCTTATGCCCATTCTACAGACGAGAAAACTGAAGCTCAGAGAGCAGCACCTTAGTGCAGCAGATGCGGACCTGGTTTCGAATCTTGTCTGCGTCTTACAAGCTGTGTGACCTTGGGCGAATCACTTCACGTCTCTGGCCATCAGCTTACTCGTCAGCAAAATAAAGGGGTTCTCAATCTGTAATACTTTTAGCCCATTACTTGCCTATGGTCATAGAATTAATGATACCAGCACCAGCCCTTCCCGTGGAAGAAGGAGCAGCAGTTGGTTGGCTCCAGTCCCAGAGAATTTCGTACCCACTCCATACCCTAGACCGCACTGCTTGGTGCTGTCTCTCTGACATTATTTCCCATCTACCCACACACATATACATACATATGCATGCATACGTACATACATACATATATATAATATACACATATATTGCTGTTTGATGTTTTCTCTCTCATTATAATGTAAGCTCTTTGAGGGCGGGGACTGTCTTTTGCTTCTTTTGGTATTCCCCAGGGCTTAGCACAGTGCCTGGCACATAGTAGGCGTTTAATAAATGCTTATTGACTGATCATTTTTTATTCTGTTGTTAGAAGATAAATTTTATTTTACTTTTTCAATTAAAAATTTCTCTCCCTCCCACTCCCCCCCATGACAGCAACAAAAAGAAATTTAAAATCAAACCGTCATAATAAATATTCATAGTCAAGCGAAGCAAATTCCCTCATTGGCCATATCCAGAAATGTATGTCTCATTCTGTAATTTGGGTCCATCACCTCTCTGTCAGCAGGCAAGTAGCCATGCTACCCACACCCCACATCTTCTGTCCTCTGGAATCCTGGTTTGCTGGATGATTTTGTAACCACCCTCTTCCCCTCCCTCCTCCCCAGCTGCTACTCTGAGGGGAAACTGAGACAGGCAGGGGCGGGGTGAGGAGGATCCCTGAATGCTCCTAATTTATCACTCTACTCAGTCCTACTCCCACTGACTGATCTTATTTGCATCTCATTTCACTAAACTCTGCCTTAGTTCTCAAGACAATTTCTGTTACAGTACTGCTCCCTGTAATTCTGTTCTTGTCTTGGAAGTCTCATTTATTTCACCTTTCTGCAGGCACAGAAATCTCCCCCAGCCTATAAAGAATAATGAGGTAAGCTTCTCCCTGGCCAAAGCAGACCTCTAGTCTGGTTCTATTCACTTTGAAATATCATTCTTATGGGGCCTGGCCCTCCAGTTCCTCTTTTGGGCCACCCAGGCCAGCATGCCAAGAGAAGGAGACAGGGGAGGGGTAGGGAAATGATGATGATGATGGGAAGATCTTTACTACAAATATTCTGGGAAAGCTCCCTCCCCCAGAAGCCGCAACTAGTCAAGACGCTATCTTTCCATACCAGAACACTGGGAAGATGGGGGTAACAAGTTCTATTTTAAGTTCTGACCCAATATCCAAGGCAGAAGCCCAAAGAGATAGAAGGTGTTCTTTCTGCATTCCCTCTTTCCCTGCCCTCTACTCGCCTCCCCACCTGTCACTACCTTGTAATAGACTCAAGTGATAAATCATCTTTTTCCCCTTTCAGAACAAGAGTAAAAATACCACAGTTTAGGAGACTTAATAGACAGCAGGGAATCAGGTCAGGACACTGAAGTGCCTCTTTCTTCCCCGGCCTACTTAAAAGTCATGAAGGAGGAGCTGGGGTGGCATTGGGTACTAAATACCATTCTCACCCAGGACAGGTACTGGAGGGAGGTGTATGGGGAGAGTGTGGAAAAGGAGGGAGAGGGTACAAGGGACAAAGACCTATGGGAAAGAGAGGTTGGAGGGTGGGGTGGGGGGTGTGATGGTGTTATCTGCGGAAAAGTGCTGAAAAGATTCTGGAAGGCACTGAGAAAGAGGGGCTTGGTTGGAGAGTTACATAGTGGGGATCGGAGACTTGCTCGCTTTTTACTCGAAAGGTGTAATTTGCAAGTTAACACACAAACCAAATGTCAATCAACTTCTTCCTCCCGGGGTTCCTCCCAGCCCCCACAACCTCTCCTTTTTGCTCCAACTCAATTCTCTGTTCTAGCACCCAGGGCCCTGTAGTCTAACACTTCCAAAAAGCCTTTCCTGATTCCCCTAGTTGTTAAGTGTCACCCTAAGCACTGTTGTTGTTGCATATATCCCTGTTAATTTGTTGTAACCCATTAGTAGATTGTAAACTCCCAGAGGGCAGGGATTCTCATTTTTCTATATGTCCCCAGTTCCTAACGCAGCGCCTGGCACATACTAGGCACTTATCAAATAAATGCCGATTGATCGATGGATTCCAGCTGCAGAGTCGCCGTGTGTTTTTTGCCCTGGCACAAGCTCCATCCCGTTGCCTCCCGTTGGCTTGGCAGGGGCCGCTCTCGGCATGTCACTGATGAATCCCCTCTGTCCAGGGCGGTGCTGGGCAGCGCGCTGGAGTCCCTTCCAACGCAGCCTCCTGCTGCCCTCTAGTGGCTGCTCGGGGGAAGCCCCAGCGCCTCCGGGCGGGATGGTTTCTGGTTGCCAGGTTTGGCCGAGAGGCCACTTTGCGGGGCTTGGCCGAGCCCGGCAATCAGTCATCCTCCAGCCCGGGGACCCTTCTCGCTGTCCTTAACAAGGAGAGGGGCTCGAGGTGGCATCTCTAAGGACGGAATCCAAGCTCCCGGGGTCCTAGTGGGGTGCCCCGCAGCGGCTTGCGGGGAGGGAGGTCTGGCAAAGAAAGTCTCCCTTCGCCCCCCACCCAGGAACAGAGGGAGCGGACACGTGCAAATTTAAAGCCTTAAACATCAGGGTTTCAGCGTACCTTCCCCTCCTCCCCCTTCAGAAGGCAAAGGCGGCAGAAGGAAGCGTCAACCTCAACACGCTTAATATGAAAAGCAGGGAGCAGGTGATCTAAGGCGCAATTTAAAAATGAATGACGTCCCCAAGCCCGCGAAATTTAGGATAAAGTTAAATCTTAAAAAATAGTAAGCTAAAGAAGGGGGCACCCGGATTTGAACCGGGGACCTCTTGATCTGCAGTCAAATGCTCTACCACTGAGCTATACCCCCTCTACCGAGCAAAAGAGCTGTAAAGAGAACTCTTAGAGCTCATCTCCGCGCAGGCGCCATAGGACTTTTTTTTTCCTCCCGAGAGTGGACTTGTTTTTATAATATATCCACCCAGATAGGAAAAGACTGTAAGGTAGGCACTATGTTAGGAACTACGGATACAAGAGAAAAGGGAGAATCCCGACCCTCAAGGCCCTTACTTTGTACTAATAGGATACAATAGGTTCATAGATATGTAAACATAAGATATAGAAAAAAAGTTGTTTGCAGAACCTGAGAGCTCAAGATTTCTGCTGATGTTGGAAAAAGGCTTATTGAGAGGGTGCCCCCTTCCTACCAGACCCAAGCAGCGGTCTCGCAACTCTTCTTTGAGAACTCACGTCATGGGAAACCTGGGAGGGAGGGCTCCTTACAGGAAAAGAATAGTCCCCAGCTCCAAGAGGCCTTCCTCCCACACTCCAAGGATGGCCCTGGCTCTGCTCTTTCCTAGTCCTGGCCCTACTTCTGGATCTCTGGAACAATTCCCTTCACTCAGCATGGGGATGGTGAAAGCAGGAGCAAAGGATGGCCTCAGTTGTGCTGAGCGCAGTGGAGGTCTTGATCTAAGTATTCAACAACACGCTGTTCAGTCCCCCTACCAAAACCACCCCTCTACCCCCAATCTACCCCCAAGTGCATGCACCCCACCCTTCCACCCCCGCTACATGTGCACCAGTATCTCCAGGAAAGAGAAAAGAAGTTGCCTCCTCTAGCCTACTTTGTAACAATATGTGACGATTGGAGGAATTCGTGACCTATTTTTGAAGAACGTATTGCAAACTCCCATTCCCCTTTAAACCCAACCGTGGGGGTAGAAGTGGATTTTAAAGCTGGAGTAAAACTTCTTCTCAGGGGGCACCCGGATTTGAACCGGGGACCTCTTGATCTGCAGTCAAATGCTCTACCACTGAGCTATACCCCCACCGCCACAACTTCTTCCCTGTGCATTTACCTTTGTAAATCCAGGGGGTGGTAATTTACTGATGACTAGTCAGTAAAGGTTGGGAAAGAACTTTTTGAAAAAGAAAAAGTAGACTGAAAAAAGCACAGAACTAAGGTAGGAGCAACCAGTTTAGATGCCAAAACTCATTCACAAGTTTACTGCAAGACCACCAGCTTGGACAGGGTGGGGGTGGGCGTGGGGGTAGAGAAAGACAGAACAGCAAAGGGTTTGCTTGATAGGAAACCTTAGGTCAGTTCTGAATTGATACTGCCCTATATAGATTGCGGATTAAGAAGCCTTCACTCTTAGTGCTCTCAGAGGTTATCTGGGCACCAGTGCTAGCCAAGGGCAGTCCCTGCCTCTGTCTTACTTCCAGTTCTGTCTAGACTGTGGGTGTACACTGCCTGAGAACAAACACTTAGAAGACCATTCATCCCTCAGGGATGAGACGAGCTGAAACCAATCTATCCTCCTCCTACCTCTTCCCAATGCCCCGAGACTGTCTCCTGAGGTAGACTCTGAGCCAGAACTTCCAAACAGTGTCACCTCAAGCCACCAAGCCATGCCAACCTGGAAAACAACTTCAATAAACACAGAAACAGGTATTGTT